TAATTAAAAATTCACCTCTCCCCTCCTAATTGAGATTAAGGGATGAAAAAGGGGCAGTTCGACGGAGAATTAAATTCTCCATCAGTTAACCCTCTTTCATCCCTTAATCTCGGTAACAAAAAAAAATAAACTGCCATGAAATTGATGGGCCAATGAGAAACATAATACTTTCGCGGCGCACAGTGACTCCCGGTAATTAAAAATTCCCCTCTCCCCTCCTAATTAAAATTAAGGGATGAAAAAGAGCTTGTTCGACTGAGAATTAAATTCCTCATCCCCTGCCCTTTCTTTATCCCTTAATCTCAATTAGGAGGGGAGAGGGGAATTTTTAATTACCGGGAGGCACTGTGCGCCGCGAAAGTATTATGTTTCTCATTGGCCCATCAATTTCATGGCAGTTTATTTTTTTTTGTTACCGAGATTAAGGGATGAAAAAGGGGCAGTTCGACGGAGAATTAAATTCTCCATTAATTAACCCTCTTTCATCCCTTAATCTCGGTAACAAAAAAAAATAAACTGCCATGAAATTGATGGGCCAATGAGAAACATAATACTTTCGCGGCGCACAGTGCCTCCCGGTAATTAAAAATTCACCTCTCCCCTCCTAATTGAGATTAAGGGATAAAGAAAGGGCAGGTGATGAGGAATTTAATTCTCAGTCGAACAAGCTCTTTTTCATCCCTTAATCTCAATTAGGAAAGGAGAAGTGAATTTTTAATTCGCGAGCGAAAGGTGAAAAGTCACTGTGCGCCGAGAAGAAAATTATTTTTCTCACTGACCCATGATTTTTGTCGTAGTTTGTATTTTTGTGCTAGAGAGATTAGGGGATGCAACGGCGATCGATTGATGGGGAATTTAATTGTCTGTCGAACTGCCCTTTTTTCATCCCTTAATCTCAATTAGGAGGGGATCGGTGAATTTTTAATTACCGGGAGTCACTGTGCACAGCAAAACAATCATTTTTCTCACTGGCCCGTGAGTTTCATGGCAGTTTATATTTTTTTGTTGCAGAGATTAAGGGGTGAAAGAGGGTTAATTGATGGGGAATTTAATTCTCCGTCGAACTGCCATTTTTTCATTCCCTTAATCGTAATTAGGAGGGAAGAGGTGAATTTTTAATTACCGGGAGTCACTGTACGCCGTGAAACTATTATTTTTCTTACTGCCTCCTGAGTTTCATGGCAGTTTATAATTTTTTGTTACAAAGACTACGGGATGAAAGAAGGTTAATTAATGGAGAATTTAATTCTCCGTCGAATTGCCCTTTTTTCATCCCTTAATCTCAATTAGGAGGGGAGAGGTGAATTTTTAATTACCGGGAGTCACTGTACGCCGTGAAACTATTATTTTTCTTACTGCCTCCTGAGTTTCATGGCAGTTTATAATTTTTTGTTACAAAGACTACGGGATGAAAGAAGGTTAATTAATGGAGAATTTAATTCTCCGTCGAATTGCCCTTTTTTCATCCCTTAATCTCAATTAGGAGGGGAGAGGTGAATTTTTAATTACCGGGAGTCACTGTACGCCGTGAAACTATTATTTTTCTTACTGCCTCCTGAGTTTCATGGCAGTTTATAATTTTTTGTTACAAA